ATAATGGGGGGTAGGCCAGCAGTGGTGTACACCTTTAATCTTAGTACTCAGGAGGCAGAGGTAGGCAGATCTCTGTGTGTTCTAGGCCATCCTGATCTATAGAGCGAGTTCAAAGACAGAGTTGTTACACAGAGAAACCCTGCCTCAAAAAATGAGAGAAAGAAAGAGGAAAAGAAAAGAAAAGAAAAAGAAAGTCATGTCATAAGGGCCATGTGTTTGGAACTCAAAGGATGATGGGGTAAAGGTGGGTGAATACAGAGCAGATTCTGCCTGAAAGGCCCTGGAAGCACACAGCAAGTCCTAACGATAGGAGGACTCTGGCTGCCTTGTTTTCCTTATCACTGTGACAAAGAAAAAGGCTGACAGAAACAACTTAAGGGAGGCAGGATTCATTTGGGCTCATGGTTCAGAGGACGTCAGTCCATCACAAGGGAAGACATGGAATGGCAGCTGCCAAGTGACTCTATTTGTGGCAGTGAGCTTACACCGCGGTTTGCTTCATTCATCTCAGCACATCAGAAAAAAAAGAAACATGGACAGGGAAAAAGAAGGCTGGACTATAATCCTCAAAGACCCTCCTCAGTGACCAGAATCTATCAGCCAGGCTCTGAGGCATGAAGCTTCCACAGCCTCCTAAAGCACAGACAGCTGAGGACCAAGTTCTCAAAACATGAGCCTGTGTATGATGCTTCACATTCAAATCATAACAGGGGTCATGAGCAGATAACTGCAACCCAGACAGTCCCTTCCCTTCCCTTCCCTTCCTTCCTTCCCTTCCTTCCCTTCCCTTCCCTTTCCTTCCCTTCCCTTCCCTTCCTTTCCTTCCCTTCCCTTCCCTTTCCTTCCCTTTCCTTCCCCTTCCCTTCCCTTCCTTTCCTTTCCTTCCCTTTCCTTCCCTTCCCTTCCCTTCCCTTCCCTTCCCTTCCTTTCCTTCCCTTCCCTTCCTTCCTTCCCTTCCCTTCCCTTTTTCCTCCCCTCCTTTAAGACACAGTTCATCTATAAAATCTATAGTATTTGAGAGTGGGGCAGTTATTGTTATCAGCAGAACACAAGCAGAGTTCAAAGCCCTTTCCCTTCTCTCCCTTTTCCTGTTGATGGGTCTCCTCAGCCTCCCTGAGTCCCATCTACTTTCTTGGAAAAGGAGGAGATAACATCATCAAACGCATGGCATAGTTCAGAAAATGAGCATAGGATAGAAAATACTTGCATTTGACCAACCCATGTACAATCAACAGAGTCATTTTCTCACTTCATCCTGCTTGCATGCATTACAATATGATATATTATTGATAGATGGTCCTGGTCCTGCAACTGGCATCCATTTCACCATCTGCCTTCAAAAATTACCATAGTTTCCCAGATTAGAGAAACTAGCATTTTTTTGGCATCTGAAGACTCAATTTCATGATTTCTACAGTTTCCTGTGTCCCCTTTCCCTCAGACCTCAAGCCCATTTGTCTTCCCTCTGTCCCCAGCAACAGTGACACAAATGGACTCCTACTTTCCCCCAAATAATGCAGTTCTTATAATGCCCATGACTTCACCCTCCATGTCCGGTGGATGCTGGTTTGGGGACTCTTCATTTGTGACTGAATTGATAGTTCTCAGGCATTCACATCCTCACAATTCAATACCATGTGTGGAAAAGACTCCTCCATCATGCTCCTTCTCTGTCCACCCACAGGGCCAAAGGATGTCATGATGGCTTCATTAGCCAAGTATGTTCCAGAAACATTCACCCCTGTGCTCCTGTATCTCAAACATGAGCCAGGTCAGATGACTCCATGTCATTCCCATCTGATAAAATGTTTGCTGGCCTGGGAGGCAGAAACCCAAACCCTGGCAGAGTCCTGGCAAGCCTTCCCTTCTAGTTCTCTATACCCTGTCACAGTGCGTAGAGATGAGTACTGGAGCTCATGACCCAGCACAGGGACGAAAGCCCTTTGTACGTGACGCATTCTCCAAGTATTCCCAGCACCAGCCGAGAGAGGAAGGAATGCTTAGACAGAGAAGATGTGCTGTGGACGTCAGACCCTCTGAGGGCCCTCCCACATCACCCCAGGTGCTTAGCTTGGGGAATGGTACTTGTTCATCTTTCTTTGGAGTCTTCTTTAGGTCTTATTCCCTCCTCTACCAAATGGCTTGGGCAAATCGCATGACCTGTATGATTTACCCCAGTTCCCTATTTCCAATATCATGGTAGTACCTTTAGTAATATATGCTAATATTAATATATATAAACATTTATTTACTTACCTTTATGTGTATCTTTGTGTATGTGTGAGCATACATGTGTGCGAGTGCTCATGTGTGCAGTACTACACACATTTGGAAGACGGAGTTCCCTCCTTCTACTAAGTGAGTTCTGAGGATTGAACTCAGGCCATCAGACTTGACAAGAGGAGCCTTGAACCTTCTAAGCTATCACAGGGTCAATGGAGGTGAAGAAAGAACTAAAGAAATTCCTGCAAAGTCATCTTATCTGTGTATTAGAAAATGGGTTCTCTCGCCCAGCACCAGTTGTTGGCCTGTCTTGGTAGAAACCCTCGATGAGGTGTGGTGGCTAGAAATAATGACCTATGGATGAATATTTACTAAGTACCACACTGGCCTGGCTCTTGGGAAGAAGGCTAGAAGGGAGACATAGCTTGCACTTGAATGGCAAGAGACAGGCAATTAACTCAGGATCTGCAACGAGGCAGATGCTGATTGAAGAGCAGTGGGCACCATAGGAAGATTAGAAGAGAACAAGCTATCAAGCAGAAAGCACAAAAATGCACACAGGCCTGGTATATTCCAATAGCCAGAAACAAATCCAGGGCCAGACCGGGCCACCTATGCTCTGGAGGTCACTCGTAGAAATTCAGTTCAATTTGAAGGGTTACATGGTCAGACCTCAGTGATGTGAGTTGAGACATTGAGCCTAGACAAGTCCATAGTATAAATAATACTTATCACCATAGACTGTAGTCATTCATGGAGACAGTGTGTATGACAGTTCCCTTGACAACAGCTTCCTCGTCCCCTCCTGGTTAGATTGACAGTCTGCTAGGAAGGACTCAGATCTAAGCAGATACCCTAGGCAAGACGGGTAGACTGGTGGGCTAGAGCGGAGAATGCACCTTGCCCAAAGAACATGGGTGGGAGGCCTGTGCTGCAGATGCAGGGAGGAGGTAGGTAGATTTAGCTGGGAGCATCCTGGAGGCATGGAAAGACGCTGGCTCAGACAAAGCCAAGTCTAGGTGCTGAAGAACTCAGAATGTGAGAACTGAGAGAAGCCTGGTCCCTCCACTGCCAACCACCTTTTTCATTCACATACATGAATTCAAACATAGGAGACTGAGGCAAAATTAGGTAAGAGACAAATTTGAATTCCTCCAATGGGCCCAAGTAACTTGATCCTCATCAAATGACTCAATAGTTGCAGGATTTTCCGACTTCCTATCTGTCCTAATTGGTATCAGTAAGTGGGGTTAGTTTTTGGTTGAATATAAAAAAGGGTAATGAAATCTTATTCCTGAAAATCAAAATCACTCTTAATATTTTAACATAATGTGTCTATACATGAATTTTTTTCTATTCATCATTGGTATCATTTTGAATATGCAATTTTATACCCAGAAGTATTACCACTATGGGCATTTTTTTCTATATTGTAAATGTTCTTTAAGCTCATAAATTGTAATTAACTGGAAATAATAGTATTAATGGTAATTAATGACCAGTAATATTCCTACATAAGGAAATAACAATTCACTCTTATTTGACATCTTAAAAATTAGTAGTATGAATGAGCCAGCTTTTTGTTAATACAATGAAATGCAGGAGGATGGGAAGTTTATCAAGAAAAAAGTTTTCCTTGTATATTCCAAGGTATCAGCTTGAGTCTGCTGAAAGTCTGCTGGCAGATAGTGTCACAATGACAGAAGCGCATATGGGGGAGAGTCATCAGATAGGAAGACAGGGACTCACAGAGTGATCCTGGGGTCAGGCTACCAGACTTAGGGGTCACATACTCTCTATAACTCCTATTCCACTCTGCCACTATAGTCTAGAAACAGGAAGAAACAAGGTATGTTGAGTCCCTACCATCATAGTTCTTTTTCCTCCCTTCCTCAAACAGTGTGTCTTCATTACTTTTTCTTAACACCATTGTTCCCTTCCTTGCTACAACATGAAGTAAACTCCTTCCTTCTCTCCAGCAGAGTGATATTCACCACACAGACCCTGCTTCTGCCTCTGTCTCTCCTTCAAGAACCTTCTCCAACTAATGAACTCCATTTATAAGTAGAATTGTAGTGAACAAAATTTTCCCCAACTCATTACATGTGGGCAAACCAATCCAAACTCAAGGAGAGACTCCTCCCCCCCCCCAGCCCCTGACTTTTATTTTCCTCTTTTTTTGTGTATCTGGCTACTTTCTTGGTCCCTTTGGTCTCTATATTGTGGTGTGGGATTTCAGGAAAGATGCCAACTTTATTTCAAATAGTTAACCACTTATCCTAAAAATAGATTTTAGGATACGTAGGACAGCCCATTGGTGATTAACTTTGGCACTTGAAATCAGAGGAGAAAGAACCGCTGAGTACCACTGGGACATCTGCCCTGAACGCCTCTCTGCCTATTGGGTCTACCGCCATCATCATGTTGTTGTGATTAAGTGCTATCATCACCATCCTCTAAAACGTTCCCTGCCTACTTTGCATCCTCCCTTTTTTCCAGTAATGGTTAGGTTCACTTCTTAAGTGGCCCCTTTAGCTTATAGTATTAGGATTTTACCGAAATCATTCAAATCAAACTAGAACCGAGACAGGACAAGAATCCTCTTTCTAACTGATTTTTCACATGGGAGAATATGTGGGTGAGTCTAATCTCATGTTTGTTGCTGGGTTTCTTTTTCGGGGGGACACTACCAGTATGTATCATGATGGTTTTCAAATCCAGGTTTTCTGGATGAATTGAGTATTTCAAAATGTGCCCTGTGACTGATACGACAAGGATAGATTTTGCCATGGTTTTCTTTATTAAGGAATATTTTTATTAATTCGTTGAGAATTCCATACAGTGTATCTTGATTACATATATCCCCCCAACTCCTCCCACACCCACCTTCTCTATACTCCCCCCTTACTCACCCAATTTTGAATTTTCTTCCTTTTTCCTTCACTATCAAGTCCAGCTTATGTTGCACAACTACTCTTGGGTATGGGGCCTGACCTGGCCTGTGGCCAACCTACCAGCAGTCTCATCATTAAAGAAATCTGACTCCCTCTCCCAGCGTCTATCCAATGCCAAAATTTCCTCAGCTAGAGTGGGTGGAGCTTGTACATGAGTTCATATGTGCAGTTGCCATGATTTTCATGTGTGGTTTTATGTCAGCATCCTTGAAATGGATTTATTTTCTCAGTCTCACTCTCACTGGGCTGGCCCTCTCCAAGTAGGCCAGACTGCGTGGCCAGCAAGCCCCAAAGACCCACCTCTCCCTACTTCTCCGTCTCTGAGGTTACAAGCACACGCTGTTGCCCCTGGCATTGCCACATGCATTCTGGGAATCAGACTCCGGTCCTCGTGTTTGCAAAGCATGACTGAGCAGTCTCCCTCCTCTCACGGACTCCGCTGCTTCAGCATCAGCTCTGCTCTCTCTCCCTCTCCACTCCTGATGCTCTTTCTCGTGTCACATGATGTTTCTTTGCAGCTATCTTATTTCTCTCCACTCCCAGGATACAAGAACAACTGGTATCCTGTGAAATAGAAGAAAAGCCAACAGAGAAGAGAGTCAACCAAAAGGAAGGAGGAACAAAAGGGGCTTTGTAAATTTGATTTAAATTATTCCAATTCCTCGAAAAATCATTTTTAGAAGCATACTTCTCGTTTACAGGATACAATTGCATTTTTTTCATATTAGTTCTTCCATGGATACTCTCCTCTCTGTCTCTGTCTCTGTCTGTCTCCCTTTTTCCCTCTCTCCCTCCCTTCCTCTGTCCCTCTATCCCTCTCTTCCTCCCTCCTCCCTCCTTCTCCCCTTCATGTTCTTAAAGGAGTTGGTCCTGCAGAGCAGCATTGCAAACAGCTCCTGTATGAGTTCTCTTTGGCTCTTCCCTTCCCTCACTTACACATCTAACCTGGAAGGTAAGTGGAAAAGGTAAAAAGGAAATGAAGAGATGAATGAGCACATTCCCTAATTCACTTGTTCAGAACTATGTAGGAGCAGCCTGCCAAGGCATTCATTGCTGTGGCTTTCAGGCCTAAATCTACTGTACTCTGTCATCTGCGCAGGTGACCCTTGTTATAGGCTTCTCTTTGAGACAGAGGGATGAGCTCTATATGGCTCTGCAGCAGGAATGCACAGGGAACCTGCCAGAAGCGTGGGAAGCAAAGACACTCTGCCCTATAGATCTCATTTCCAGGCGCAAAACATGCAAGCAGCAACTCAGCCCCGTGACTCAGTGATTCCCAGCTGTGTGGGTGCTGATCACATGCATCCCAAAGGTGAAGCATGGGCCACAGGGCATTGAGCACTGGTCTGGAGCACATGGGAGCTAGCTCAAGCCCAGAAGAACCCCTGAGAAGGGTCCTAAACTATGCCTCTTTGGGATTTAAGAGAAGGTATGGTAGCATAAAAATGGATGGAAGGGAGTGGAATGTACAGATGAACAAGGCCCTTTTAAGTTATAAGTGAGCCCCAACCACTCTTCTGGGGCAGTATTACAGAGGTGAGAGCCCAGGGTCTACCTCTGACTTAGCTCACAGTATCACAGAGGTGAGAGCCCAGGGTCTACCCCTGACTTAGCTCCTTCTATTAGTCAGCTACTAGGCTTTGCTTCTTAATAAGGAAAGGATGAACAGCTCACCAGCTTGCTATTTGGTGATGAGCTTAAGTGATGTTTGCCATGTCCAGAACAGAACTGCAAATGAGCGTCTCTCCAGTACTCTCTTCATCCTCATGATAGGGAATCGTGTTCCCTGTTTAAAACAAATGGATATATATAGAATCAGGGAGCTATTGTGAGCTTTGATTATTATGCCATGACTCAGATTATTCATTTATATTTTTAAAGATCTGTAAATCTGTGTGTGCATGTGTGGTGTGTGTGCATGTGGTGTGTGTGTGTGTGTGTGTGCATGTGTGCGTGTGTGAGTGTGTGCATGCGTGCGTGTGTGTGTGTGTGTGTGTGTGTGTGTGTGTGTGTGTGTGTGTGTATACACCAGGTGAGTGCCCGAAGGCTAGAAGAGAATGTTAGATCTCCTAGAGCTGGAGGTACAGTCTCCATCTTATGTACATATTGGGAACCAAACTTGAATCCTCTGGAAGAGAAGGAAGATCACATAGCTGCTCAGCCACCCCTCCAGCCCCTGAGATTATTCTTACAAATACACTCTCTTATCCAAGAAGTCAAGACAAGCTCCCTAACTCTGGGTGTTTTTTTCCTCATTTGCAGCACTAACCTCCTTTATAAAGGAAAATGTTAGAGAAAATGCTTACCAATGAGACTATCATGTAATATGTACCTTGTAGATCATCTCCCCAGTCTGATTTTCTTACCCAGAAAATATGAAGCAAAGTAGCAGTTGTCGTGACAAGTAATCTCAACTTATGTCTCACATGAGGAAAGGAGAGGGGGTCATGGAGGGAGAGAATGAGGGATGGAAGAAGGGAGGGGAGAGGAGGAGAAAAGAAGAGGGAAGGGGGCAAAAAGAGGAGGAAAAAGGAAGGGAGATGGAGGGAAGATAGAAGAGAAGAAAAGGGAGAAGAGGGAAAGAGAAGAAGAGAGGGGAGGAGAGGAGAGAGACACTTTTGGAAATTATATATACATACATACATACATATACACACACACTCAAACTCAACTCAAAAGAGTCTACTTGCCCATGTCTCAGATGCCAATGTGTTCTAGGTGGCATGAGAGCTCACTATGTAAACTGGTAGTTTGAATTTTCAGATAAATACCTACAGAGAACATGGCGTCAAGCCTCAGAACAACTTTTCCCACCTGACACCTTCTCCATCTCTGACAGGTCTGGGGATGGTAGCTGTGCACTGGGAAAGTAAAGGTGATGTCTAGAAGCTCTCCCTTAGTTTCTCACAGCAGGGAGGGAAGCAGACTTAGGGGTGTGGTGTTCCCAAGGGCCTCTTTACACACACATTCTCCTTGGGGTGTCTCAGCATACCAGAGGTGTGGTTAGGTAAGTATCGCTCCACCCATGTGGTGTCTGCTGGCCAAGCCTCATCAGCCCTACACTCTCATTAAGAACATTAAGAGAAGTGTACAGTAGCAGGGCTCCTAGGGACAGATTTAGTGATGTCTCCTGTCCTCCCAGAAGATTCTGGGTGTGTCTGCTAAGATGAATCTACCCTTAATCAAACCACATTTCTTTGAGTGATTCCTTGAAAAGCTTCAAGTATTCCTCTGGCCATGGTAAATTTCTTGGGTAGGCCTAACATCTCTACAACTCAGATATAGTAGCAAAGATCTGAAAATAGCCCAGCACATTGGCAGTAGGGAAGCCTTATGCTGGGCTGTCATGGCACCTCCTAATATCACAACAGGACAGCCAGTTTCCCAAGGGCACTGCTCAGGTGGTCTCAGTATAGCCATGCAATGGAGGCATCCAAGTCTCTGAATATTATGAAATGCCTGTTAGCTGGAGAGGCATAGTAAAACTCAGAACCCAAGCCTCCCTTCCTGGAGATAAAATCACAAGCAAGACTACCTTACCCCAAATGCCAATCCAGCACCCCCAGAAAAACACCAGAAAGTCCCATATACAGCTGTGCTGAGTTACCAACACCTTTCTTTGCCTAAAGCAATATCCAAGCAGCATTAAGAATTAAAGACAGAATCTAATCAGCGAGCCAACAGTAAAGCCAGATAGATGATAGATAGATAGATAGATAGATAGATAGATAATGACTAAGATATATGATAGATGGTTGTGATAGATTGTTGATATATGTATATAAGTAGATGAATATTTATAGATAGAGGGTATATAGATAGCTAATTGATAGGTATATAGATGACTGATTTATAGATTAGACAGACAGGATAGTTTATAGTAGATAGATGGATGGTAGACAGACAGATACATCAAGCAAAGCTATGCTGACAGGTTTAGGAAGCAACCACTTTCAAACTTACTTCAAAGGGAGCAACAACCTTTGAAGCTTTCCACACACAGGTACAAGTGATACTTACCTGTCATCCTGATTCTATAAATGTTGATGTCGGATGATGGTGTGAAGGCTTGTCATCTCTACTGCCCTCCATCCTACTTGAGCTCTTGTCAACCTGTGTTCAGACACTCCCACCTCCAGAAGAGCATTTAGAGAAGTTAATGACTTTTAGGCAGTCTGAATCAAGTTAGAAAAGCTCATCAGATGAGATCATGACATGGCCTTTCAATTCCAGTCTAAGCCCAGTTCTAGTGAGACATTAGACTGAGGGACCTGAGAAGTATAAGAAGAAGAAGTCAATTCATGGGCTACATATGTGCTGTTGGTGTTCATTTCATCTCTTGGGTTGCTTATCTTCCTTTAGTAGAAGGAGGAGGATGAATGCTATATCCCTTCTGAGACATCTACAAACGCATATACAGTTTCTATTTTAGATCCACTGTTTGATCAGCCCCACAAGAAAGTGTGAAGACATCAGGAAGAAGATGTCTATACTCCAGAATATACTACAGTCTCTCCTCACAATCCTTAATTTTTGTTTCATCTATGGTGACTTCAAGAAGGTTAGGGCAATGATGCAGTCAGCCAAGTGCTTTCCACAAAATCGTGAGGATGTGAGTACAATCACACAATATATATTGAACAGTGGTGCATGTTAGCACATGCTTAGAATCCTGGCCCTTGGGGGGTTGGGTGACAGAAGACCCCTGATACTTACTAGTCAGGTCCATGGCTGAATTGGTGAGTTTCCAGCCCAGTGAAAACTTACAACTAAAAAAAAAAAGCCCAGATAAACTGTGTCCTGAGAATGATGCATGAAGTTTAGTTCCGATTCTATAAATGCATACATGCATAGCCATGCCACACAGCTGCACCTACATTTACTATGTGTTTACACACACAAAGCTAGACTATATACAATAGTAATAGATGGTCTATGATATACTTTCCAATTATAAAGTCTGATGAGCCTAGATTTGAATGACATTCAGATGGTCTGAACACAGTCCACCAACTTGCAATTATCCACTTAGCATTCCACATTGAACCTCAGAGAATATGTCTCAGAGACAGTAAGAATCCTGACTCAGTGTTGTTTATCTAGGGTTAAATGCCTGACATCGATTCCTGTAAATCACTGAACTCATTTAATAATCCTAAATAACCAGCTTCAGTTGATGGAAATTGGCACTCTCAGAGGGTGGCTCTATTGTCTGCTCCAGCAACCAGTGACTTCTACTCCTTTCCTGAACCTTCCTTTACCCAGTTTTGTAGATAAGGCCTCTGCTGCGGAATTCACAACCAGAGAAGGCTCATCTATGCAGATAACCATTAACTGTGTTGAACTCTGCCAAATACAGTGTCACTTATCCACGGGATGATATCCAAGGAATACTTGTGCATAGAAAAAAATAAATCTGTCTCATTGAGATTATTTATATCCTTATTCAAATACCATCAATCCAGACAAAATCCCACCACAGAGAGGGGAATATGTGGACATGAAGCCCCACCCCTAGCGGAGGAGCTGTAGGCAGTTGATAGCTTCTGAGAGACAGAAGTCTGTTTCCTTGGAGGGTGTGGCCCTTTGTCATCCTACCACGCTCCAATGGATGGCCACGCCTTCAAGAGCATATGGGCAACACAAATTGGGCTTGACAGGTTTAAAAGAATTGAGGCCACAATGTCGGGTGAGTAGAATCTGAGGGGAGCTAGTTGGGGGTTGATATGATCGAAATACATTGCATGAACTTTTCAGAGAATTAACTTTCAAAATCTTACATTAAGTAACATACGTCAAGCACTTATTGTGTTTAGAAATGTTCAGATATTCTCCTGACAGCACTTCATTATGTAACCTAGTTCTATCTGTCTTATATTCCCCCAAAGTAGAGCAAGCCAAAGGCGATCTTCCTCCCTCACGGAACACTCTATATCCTTACAAATGCAGGGAGCTGTCCATCAAGTCTCCCTTGCCACCACCACCACCAATGGTCAAGGGTTGATAAATCATGTATTTCCACATTGAGACTAAGATTGACAACTGCTGAGAGTATCTACCAAAGGGTGTGTCATAGCCAAAGGCAGAGACAGTCCTGCAGGAATCCTGTTCCCAGGCTTGGGGACTTGAAACGCCACTGGAATTTGCCCAAATGCCAGAGTCAACAAAGGTCTCAGTGAGAAGCTCAGGACTTCCCTCAGACTGGCCAACCCACCTGCTCTAAGAAGCACTTGTATCCTGGGAGCAGAGAGAAAGATGCAGGGCATGTCAATCAAGCCATGGTAAAAGCGTTCTGCCTGCTAGCAGACTCTGCCACCTCCAAAGGCAATGCACTTACATGGTTTCTCTCACCTTTTATTTTGAAGGTGGGGAAAACCTGCCCCTCTCATCTGTAGCAGGCTTGGAAGCGTTGCTCTTATCATCTGCCTTCCTCATTGGAGAATGTTGTTGGTATGGCATCTTGCTCACTTTGTACTTGACAGTCAGTGTTTAGGGAAGTGCATGAATCCCAAAATGAACCACCAGAAACAACTTGTAGGCAAGTTTTAATACAGAAAAGAAATGCTTAATTTGGTATGTTATGCAGTTTTAACAGATGAGATATGTGTTCTTTAGCTGGAATGAGATGCAGACACAGGTCAGACAGAGGACTATTGGAGATGTAGTCTTCTAGATTTTTCTGAGTAGAGCTACAGTGTGACCATGCTATTTAGCTCAGCGGAAACTCCCACTGCCCCTGTAGAGGATAGGGCTGAACAGAACCAATTACATTTTAATAATCTGTAGCTGTTTTATAATATCAAAATCTAAATCACACAATGGGGAAAGTTTTGGTGATATATACATGCGCACATAGGGATGGGATGTTCATATAAGGATATGAGAGATCATTAATATTAGAAAGGGAAAGGACATTAAAAATAAACAAATGAGAGTTAGGTGTGGTGGCACATGCCTTTCATCCCAGCACTTGAAAGACAGGGGCAAGTAGATAGCCATGAACCCCAGGCCAGCATGGACTACAGAGTGAGACTGTGTCTCAAAGCATAATGAAGAAATTTGTAGTCAGACTTTTTTGGTCAGGATCATCAGCTCCCCAGTAATGATATGGAGACTTATAATTAATTATGAAAGCTCGGCTGATACCTCAGGCTTGTTTCTAGCTACCTTTTACAACTTAATTTAATCCATATCTTTTCATCTATGTTCTTTACATGACTCAGTTTCCTTTGTACTGTCCATACTGCTTCCGCAGAGTCTCCTGGCTTCTTCTTCCCAGTGTTCTCTGTGCCTGGAAATCTTGCCTAGCTATTGACTGTTCAGCTTTTTATTAAGCCAATCAGAGTGACACAATGTCACAGTGCACAAAAAAAAGATTATTTCAGAACAGAAGAAAGAGAGGAGAGAGAGAAATAGAAAGGTGGGAAAATGGCCCAGTGATGAAAAGAGCTTGCTGCTCTTACAGAGGACCAGAGTTCAGTGCCCAGCATCCTTTATCAAGAGAGTCACAACTGCCTGTAACTCCAGTCCCAAGGAATCTGACATCATCTTCTGCATTCTGTGGGTACTCACACACGTGAGCACAGAGACACACAGTCATTGGTGCATACACATAAAAAGAAAACAAGCATGTATGCAAGCTATTCAACTTGGATAGTCTTAACACACAGGAGGCACTTGTAATTGAACTTTAAAGTCTCTGTAGTAAAAATAAAGGAAAATTCTCTGCTGAAGCTGATACCTAGTGGGAAATTGAGAGCTAGCTAGCACATGTAAACCAACCTTGTTCTCACCATAGGGTGATGCTTCATTGGACAAGGTAAAACAGAGAGGGAAATTGATTATTTTAGTGAAATAATGTAGTAAAATCAAATTTACTTTTTTTTTGTTTTTTGAGACAGGGTTTCTCTGTATTGTAGACCAGGCTGGCCTCGAACTCACAGAGATCCACCTGCCTCTGCCTCCCGAGTACTGGAATTAAAGGCATGCGCCACCAGCGCCCAGCTAAAATCAAATTTACAATGTGTGAACTGTGTACCTTCTACCTGTGGTTACCACAAACAGCCTGGTGAGTCTGAAATATGTTTGTATTTTCTATTTTAAATTTGAATATTTTTATTAAGAATGTTCCAAAATTCTATTTTAAATCCTCTTCTCTAACATTTGTGTTTCGTAAAACTCAGTGCCAATTGGGGATGCTGTGTGCCTTCTAAAAGCATAGAGCAAGCCAGGCCTGAGAGGGGAAGCTGGCTGTATGCATCACTACCAGGGATGCTACACCATCTAGTATTATTGCCTGTAACAAGCCTGTCTTCACAATGTACACAAGAGATAGCTAATTCAAGACTCTCTGCTTCTGCACACTCATGCTAGGAAAATGCTTCCACACCCTCAGTTATCAACTGTCAACTGGATCCTATTGGTTGATAACTCCCCAAAATACTTTATTTTGTCTTTGTATCCCTGCAGAATTATGATGAGTATCTGGCAAACATCTCCACTCAGGTGCCTGAAATTCTCTCAAACGCAATCATCTCTAAAGCCATAATGAGGGCTGCATTCATCACAGAAAGGGGAAATGGAGCCTGTGACATAGAGCAAGATAGTCTGCTATTATGATAGCTTCCAAACACTTATGTCCCCTATTTTCAACATTTGTACTTTTAAGAAACTTTTACAGATTGTAATCACACTATTTACTCTCTCCCAACTCTCCCTATACCCTTCAAAATTTATCTTAATCCCTCCTACCCATGTTATTATTTTAACAATCTTTTGCATAAGATTTTTATTATTAGTCTGTATGCATGTCTGTGTCTGTGTCTCTGTGTCTGTCTGTCTGTCTGTCTGTCTGTCTGTCTCTCTCTCTCTCTCTCTCTCTCTCTCTCTCTGTGTGTGTGTGTGTGTGTGTGTGTGTGTGTGTGTGTGTAGATGACCATGGAGATCAGAACATTGTGTTAGATCCCCTAGAGCTAGAGGACTGAATACTAGTCTTCCTCAGGAGCAGCAAGTGCTTTTGACCACTGAGCAATCTCTCCATACCTTGTTTTAACAATCTTAGTTCATTCTGACCATAGAGCTTTGTTCTTTATGTTTATTCCTTCTAGGTGTTTCTCTCATCTTTGCATATCAAAGTTCTAGTAACCATACATGTCTCAGCTCAGCCTCCAAGAAGATTCTCCTAAAGGACTCCTCTTTGACCCATTTTGATTTTCAATTACTTATTTATTAACATCTAGACTTAAAATTCCTATGGATTTAAAAAGGGTTGTATCATCCCTGTGATAGCATCAACTTTACCTGTGGCAATATTTGGCATGCAGTAGGTATCTGCTAAATGCTTGTTGAATAAATGAATAAGAAATAAATCTGCCAACCACCATTCTCCATAGAACTGTTCTTAGCATATTTTATATTCCTACAAAAAGGGTACTACTGAAGTCCACCATACATACCTTGTTCCAACTTAACTCTATCATTGAATTAGCCACAAAAATTATCTTCCAACATATTTCTCAATCTAATTCTTCTTGGCTCCAATACCTTGCTCTAGTGGAAGGATCTCTCTTTGTACACCGTTTTCCTCCTCCTAATGATTTTAAGTTTCACCCCTGACCATTAATTCTTTCCAGTTGGCCACCTAGGTGTTGTTGAAGCCTGGGTGTGATCATCTCACTGTCCTTCCCAACAACACTTCAGTAGCTGCTCATGGTCTGAGGATCCCATGTAAATTCTTTATCATGTCCTACAATGTCTTTTCTATTTTCTAAGCCAGGGTCATCTTCACAATCCACCTTCTTCTCCTGCAACCTCTTGCCTGTTAACCCCAGGCACATAACACCTGCCATCACTGCCTGGTTGCCTCTAAACAGGTGATTCTCCTGTCTTCCTAAAGAATCCTTTACACATGCATGACCTGCTGAATGGCAGACAAATTGCTACTAGCTGGTTAAAACTGGTTCAAGGACTTGCAAACTTCTCTAGATACACATAAATATAGCTTATCCAATCTCCCTTGCATTAGTTACTATTTTCATCGCTGCTGCAAAGCCGAATGGAGGAAGGAAGAATTTATTTTGGTTCCCACTTTGAGAGTACAGTCCATCAAGGTAGCAGAGTCACGACTACAGAAGCATGAGGGAGCTGCTCACACTGCGCCCATGGTCAGGAAGCAGAAAGCTGAGCACTGGTGCTCAGTCCCCTTTTGTCTTTTACTCTGTCCAGGATCCCAGCCCGAGAATGGTGCCACCCACATTTAAAGTTGGCCTTCTCACCGCAACGGATCTAATCTGGAAACTTCATCATAGGTGTGCCCGGTGGTTTTATTTTCTGAGTCTAGATACTGTCAAATTGACAGTCCCAATCATCACACTCCTCCATTATATGATTTGTTCCTTGCTACCATATTGATATTTCTCATTTCTATTTTCCCTTATTAGATTATCATGTCTTAAAGAGGCTCTCTCCTTCAAGTTTGTGTGTTCAGCAACTACCCTAAGAGCTAACCCCTCTCAGGTGCTCGGGAATTTAAGTTCCTAATGAATTAAGAGGTAGATGGGTCTCAAGATAGGGCAGATACATACATGGACACAATGAAGGCAGTTCTAAAAGGCAAGTTCATAGTCCAAGTAGCTATTTAAAAAAACAGAGATACCCCACATTAATAACTTAACAATACAGTTGGAAGCTGTAGAAAAAAATCAATAATACCTCAAATGAGTAAATAGGAAAAAATACTCAAACTCGGGGCTAAAAATCAACATAATAAAACAAAAAATTACAAGACTCAATGAAATGAACAGCTGTTTCTTTGAGGAAATCAACATAATTTACAACCTTTAGCAAAATTAGCCAAAAGGCAGAGAAAAGTCTAAAATTATCACAATTAGAGATGAAAAAAGAAGATATTACAGTAGACACTGAGGGAATTCAGAGAATCAAATACATTAAGAATTTATAGCCCACCGAATTGGAAAATGTAATGAAATGATGAATTTATTGTTATATACAGTCTACCAAAGTTAAATCAAAATCAAATAAGCAATTTAAACAGACCTATAACCCCTACTGAAATAGAAGCAGAAACAGTATTCAAAATCTTCACCCCACCTCACCCCCAAATACTAAGGCCAGATGGATTCAGCACAGAATTCCTATGCCTCTCAATTTGTTTAACAAAATAAAAACTGAAGGAACATTTATACATTACTCTGATACCAAAATCATAAAATCCCAACCAAAAAAAAAGAAAATTATAGGTCATCATCCCTATGAACATAGATGTGAATTTTCTCAATAAAATACTTGCTAACTGAATTCTAGAACACATAGCAAGATTATCTACCATCATCAAGTTGATTTTATCCCACAATTGCAGGGATGGTTCAACATATATAAATAAGTAAGCAAAATCTACCATATAAACATAATAAAAGACAAAAACCACATGATCATCTCATTAGATGCAGAAAAAGCCTTTGACGAAATCCAAAATTTCTCCATGAAAAAAGTCCTGGAGAGACTATGAATACAAGGAACATATCTCAACAATAAAGGCAATTTACAGCAAGCCAACAGCTAACATCATCCTAAACAAAGAGAAATACTAAGCATTTCCCCTAAAATCAGGAATAAGACAAGGGTGTCTGCTCTCTCCATACTTATTAAAAACAGTATTCAGTCTTAGCTATAACAATAGCACAACGGAAGGAGATCAAGAGGGTACAAATAAAAAAGGAAGAAGTCAAAGTATCCTTATTTGTAGATGATTTGATTTTATACATAAAATGACCCTAAATATTCAACCAGGAAACTCCTATAACTGATAAACACTTACAGCAAAGTAGCATAACACTTGATTAACACACACAAGTCAGTACCCTTCCTACACACAAATGGCAAGCATACTAATAAAGAAATAAGACAAATAATACCATTTACAACAGTCTCTAAAACATGTCGTTTTGTGATAACTCTAACTGGGCAAACAAAAGGTTTGTATGATAATAAAATCTTTAAAGACATTTGTCTTAGTTGGGGTTTTATTGCTGCTATGAAATACCATAGCCAAAAAGCAAGTTGAGGAAGAAAGGGATATTTGGCTTACATTTCCACATTGTAGTCCATCACTGAAGGAAGCCAGGACACAAATTCAAACACTGGAGGCACGAGCTGATGCAGGGACCACGGAGGGGTGCAACTTATAGCTTACTCAGTCTGCTTTCTTACACAACCTAGGACCATCAGTACAGGGCTAGCATCACCCACCATGGGCCAGGTTCTTTCCCATCTATCACAAATTAAGAAAATGGCCTGCAGCTGGATCTAATGGAAGTATATCCTCTATTGAGGGTCTCTCCTTTCAGATGACTCCAGCTTGTATCAAGTTGACGTAAAACTAGCCAGGATAATTAGACCCCTTGCCAATTTGACCGACAAACATATCACTGTTAAGCCATAATCTTTGATTTCTTGTTCATTCCCAAGATCACACATTGACATCAACGTCGCGATATAAAACATTTTATAAGCTTCGAATCCCAGACTGATGGCTGAGAGGCCAACAGGGGACAGATCCAGACTCCATGAATGTAGTGCCAGTGAAGAGGCCACAGAAATCACTGGGGCCTTGGGTAGTAGATCAGTGTTTACCATGGTGTATGAATGATCTTTGGGAGCCCATTCCAAATAGAGGGATGCTCTCTTAGACTGGGGAAGGGCCTAGGTCCTGCCCTGGATGAAATGACAGACTTTGGAGATCCCCCCAAGGAGGGCCTCACCCTCCCTGGGGAATGCTGTGGGAATGGGATAAGGGGCTGGGGGGCTGCTGGATGGACAAGGAAAGAGGGTGGGAGAGGGAGCTGGGATTGACATGTGAAGCATTAATGTTTCTAATTTAAATAAAAATATATATTGAGGAGAAAAAAAGTCCCGCATTCTTCAAAAATTCAGACACTTTAAAATTCAGTATCTTTAAAAATCCAAAGACTCTTTTAAAACCAAAAATCTCTTTTCAAATGCACTCTCTCACGTGTGAGTTCCAGCAAAATAAAAAAAAAATAAGTTGAATGTTTCAAAGGAGATGGGGGGGGCGGTAACCAGGGCACAGTCACAATGTAAACACACCAAAACCAAACTCCAAATAGTGTAAATAGCTCAATGTCCGGTTACCTGGGATTCGCCCCCAGTGTTCTGGGCTCCTCCAAGGGGGCATTGGTCCCTTCTCCAGCTCTGCCCTCTGCAGCACACACAGTCTGTCTTCTAGGCTCCACTCCACTACTGCTGCTGTTCTCGGTCACTCCATGGTAGTGGCATCCCCAAAGATGCAAGGGTCTTTTGTAGCAACTGGACTTCTATTTCATCAAAAGCCTCCCCTGGTCTTTCTTCAGGTACTCCAGCCCTGCCACACAATGCCAAGCCCAGCTGCTCTCCATGACCTTTTCATGCCTTCACAACCGGTGCCACCTGGGTGAGCCTTAACACTACCAAGTTTGGCTGCCAGCATGAGGTATTGCATTCGCCACTTCTGGACTACAGCTTCTGTGTGCTGACCCTGAGCAAAACTTCCCAAAAGACTTCACCTCAGTGGTGCTGGTCTCTTCTTAATCACAGCTGATTCTTCAGCCCCAGCTGACCAGTGTCCATTGTCCCAGAAAAGCAAAGGTTTAACTTTAGTGTTTCTGGTCTCTTGTTAATCACAGCCAATTCTTCAACTCCAGCTAACCAGACACCACAGATTCTTCACACAAAAGACTTAGTGGAGTCTTTGCTTCCCTCTGAAACTTCACAAGTCTGGCCTCCATCATCTTCACTATTCTCAACATTCTTATCTTCCAAGGTCCTAAAGAATAGCTCACTGAGCTCTCAACAGTCAATGGATTTTATAGCCCAAAGTTCCAAAGTCCTTCCACAATCCTCCCCAGCGTAATATGGTCAGGTCCATCACAGCAGTACCCCAGTATCCTGGTACCAGCTTGTCTTAGTCAGGGTTACTATTGCTGCTATGAAACACCATAACCAAAAAGCAAGTTTGGGAGGAAGAGTTTATTTGCCTTTTGCTTCCACAATTGTAAGGCCCTCTTTGAAGGAAGCCAGGTCAGGAACTCAAACATGGCAGGAACCTGAAGGCAGAAGCTGATGCAGAGACCATAGAGGGGTGCTGCTTACTGGTTTGCTCTACATAGCTTGCTCAGCCTGCCTTCTTATAGAACCCAGGACCACCAGCCCAGGGATAGCACCACCCACAATGGGCTAGGAAAATATTCTACAGCTGGATCTTATGGAGGCATCTCCTCAGGTGAGGTCCCTCCTTTCAGGTGACTCTCGCTTGTGTCAAGCTGACAAAAAGTTATCCATGAAAACACTGAAGAAAAAAATGAAGAAGATATCATAAGATGGAAAGATTGCCTATGCTCATGGATCAGTAAGATTATTATGAAAAATGGCCATTCAATCAAAAGAAAGCTACAGATCTAATACAATTCCCATTAAAATTCCAAGACAAATCTTCACAAATAAAAAAAAACTTCGTATGGAAACACTCAGAGGGAGAATAGTTATAACAATCCTGTATAATAAAAGAACTGCTGGAGGTATCGCCATCTCAGATTTCAAGTTTATTACAAAGTCATAGCAATAAAACAACAGTATCACATTGACGTAAAAGCGCACACATTAATCAGTGCAACAGAACTGAAGAACAGGACATAATTCAGCACACCTATGGACACCTGATTCTTGCCAAAGAAGCAAAAAATTACACAAAGAATCAACAGTCTGGTCAAACTGAATGACTGGATTTAGAAGAATGACAGTAGATTAACATCTACCACCCTGTACAAAACTCAACACTAACTGGATTAAGACCTCAGCATTAGACCAAATACCATGATTTGATAGAAGAAAAAGTAGGAAATAGTCTTGAACTCATTGGTGCAGGAAGGGGCTTTCTGAATAGGATACCAAAAAACATTGGTTTTAAGACCAACAGTTAATAAATGGGACCTCATCATAATAAAATAGTCTGTATAGTAACGGACACCATCATTCAAGCAAAGTGGCAGCCTATGGAATAGGAAAAATCTTTGCCAATTGTGTGTGTGTGTGTGTGTGTGGTTGTACTTGGAAGAAGAATATGTAAAGAACAAAAACACTGAACATCAGTAAAATAAGCAATCCTATTGTAAAAATGGCTATAGAGTCAGGTGTTGGTGGCGCACGCCTTTAATCCCAGAAATTGGGAGGCAGAGGATGGTGGATCTCTATGAGTTCAAGGCCAGCTTGATCTACAGAGTGAGTTCCAGGACAGACTTCAAAACAATACAGAGAAACCCTGTCTCGAAAATCAAGAAAAAAAATGGGTATAGAACTAAATAGACCTCTCAAAAGACGAAACTCAAATAGCTGAGAAACACTTAAAAATTGTTCAGCATCACTAGCTATCAGATAAATGTGATCAAAACTACTCTGAGATTTTATCTTATGCCAGTCGGAATGATCACATTCAATATGAAAACAAAATGACAACACATGCTGGCATGGACGCAGGGAAAGGGAAATATTTATTCATTGCTGGAGAGAATGAACTGCCATAGCCCTCATGGACATAAGTGTGGAGGTTCCTAAAAAAGCTGAAAACTGACACAGTACAAGACCCAGATCACCACTTTTGTACATGTGTGTGTACTCAAGGGATTCCACGTTTTACTACAGAGACACTTGCTCATCTGTGCTCATTGCTTCTCTATTCATAATAGCCAGAGATTGAAAACAACCTAAATGTCCTTCAGCCAATAAATAATTAGTGAAAATATGGCACATTTACACATGGAACACTGTTTAGATGTTAAGAAGCATGATAATAAACTATGAAAATTGCAGACTGGAGGGCTGACTCAGTGGTAAAGATCTCTAACCGCTCTTCCAGAGGACCCGAGTTCAATTTCCAGCATCCATACGGCAGCTCAGGACTGTCTGTAGTTCCAGTTCCAGGGCATCTGACACCCATGGCAAAACACCAATGCACATTAAACAATTATGAAATTTGCTGGTAAGTGGATGGAGCTGAATGAGGTAACTCAGGCCCAAAGGGACAAACATGTCATGTTTTCTTACACGTAGATGTTAGCTTTTAAACTTTAGACATGTGCGTTCCAATTAGGATAACTACAGAGGTCGCTGGTAAGGGACTGGTGGGCAAGAGGGCTCTCCCAAGGAAGGAGAAACCCAATGCAGTGTTATAAAGAGATAAAGGAGAAACTGGACTAGGAGGAATAAATGGGAGGGTGGAGGACGGCACAAGTGAAGGAAGGAAAACAGGAAAAAACAAATAACACTAGAAACCTTTTGAAAAGCCATATGAAAATTCACCATTAGAGAAACTTTCTAAAATATATGCATATGTGAAAGGAATTTTAACTCCATTAAATGCGTTCACTGTTGTACCACAAATAATAAAAGCTCAGAGTCAGATATTGGGGTTCAAACTGAAGATCAGAAAAACAAAGCAGCCAACCACTAGAGAGTTCTTAACTCTACCAAGACTCAGACCAAAAGGGGAGATCCTGCCCTCAGCATGACTGAAAACTGATTGACTCCTGTCTCCTCACATCTTATTTTCCTCCCTAGTGCTGGTATTAAAGGGGTGTACCACCACTGCCTGGTCTCTATGGCTAACTAGTGTGGTTGCTGGGATTAAAAGTGTGTGTACCATCATTGCCTGGCCTATATGACTGGCTGGTGTGACTAGCTTTGCACTCTGATCTTCAGGCAAGTTTTATGTTAGATCTCAAACAAAATATCGCCACACACTGTATAATGGGAGAGAGAATGACCCAATTAGACATATTATGCAACCAAGTAAACCCCCCCTGCCCAGTGCCAATAATGGTATAACTCTTGCTGAGCTGGGGGCAAAGGGGTCTCAAAGAGCTCCCCAAACATCATAGACAACTGCCAAGGTTATTGGTTGAACTCCACAACCTGATGGTAAGGCCCTATTGATGAAGGCACTACTTATATCAAACAGTTGAGCTGGTACCTAGACAGATGTTTCCCTCCCACTGACTAGCACTCACAGTACTGGAAAGCACACTGCACGCCACCCAAGAAGAAAAGCAGCCATTGGTATCACTCAGCTACAAACCCTGTGACTTCTAACAGCAAGCTGCCTGCAAGTTACACTGGTACAACAGTGCCACAAAAGCTAAGGGAGTAACCAACCAGGTTTTCAATCGGGATTTAAGACGGGATGCATGAGACAGAACCCACACCCTGCACCACTGACACGGCTAAGAACCGATTATGATTCTGCTAAAAAAAAAGAGTATAGCAACAAAGTGATGCCCAATAACATATAACTACACCCATAGATCTGTGCCTTTCTCAGTCCTCATGAGAGAAGTTTCTGGCAATAAATGGCAATTAACACAGAAACCCACAAAGAGACGCGGTGCAGATGGGAAGAGACTTTGGAGCATTCAACCCTAAGTAAGATGTCTGTATGGAAGCCCTCCCTTCAAGGATGAGGGATCTACATGGAAGAGAAGGAGGAAAGGGTGTAAGAGCCAGATGTGGCCCTTCTTACAATGAAACAGCATCTTCCAGACACAGCAGAGCTGACACACAAATGAACTCTCACAGATGCTGTGACAGCATGGACAAGACATGCATAGGCTCAAACCAGACAAGATCCTAGCACTGGGAAGAGAAAGTGAGCATAAAATCCCACCCCTAACTAAGAAGCTATTTGCAATCAGCACCTCCTGGGAAAGGAATTCTTTTTTCTCCAGCGAAGTGTCACTGAGCCTATCAGCCATGCACTAGGGAACACGCCTCATGCTCAGAAGCAGCTGAACAACACAAAGTGGACTCCGTGTTTTCTGTGTGTGCTTTTGGTTTTGTTTTGGTACTTTTTATCCTACTGGCTTTGGGGGTGCTTATTTGTTTTTATTTTTGTCCTTTTTTATTTCTGAGAGAGAAATATGAAGTTGGGCAGATAGGGAGGTGTGGATAATGTGGGAGGAGCTGAGAGATGAGAAAGAACTTGATTAAAATACATTGTAGGAAAAAAATCTAAATAAATCTAGGACAGATAGTATGTTGTGGTGAGGGCTAATCAATAAGAATCCTGTGGCATCTCCTGCAGGCATACTGGCTTCTGACTAGGAGGCATCACTCAAACACTGAAGTGATGACAATTCTTGTAAGAGCCAAGAATCGTTGCAGAATGTGGTCAAAGGAGGCATACCCACATGCTGAAGACCATGAGTGCTCCCAGCTTTAAAGAAAGACTTGAATGTGCTCAGGTTCCCTAAGACTACATAGCCCACTTGCTTTTTTTTTCTTTAACACAAAGAGGAGACTTTTACTTTGAGCCCTGTTGCTTAGAATTTATCACTGTCTTCTGTAAAAGATGATAAATCTGGACAGAGGGGGCTTGTTGGGGGTCACTATTAGCAGTGCTAGTTGGAGGGTTCATTTTCTGAAAACAAGATTTATTTTGATAATTAATATGTGTGTCTCTGTTGGGGTATGTGCACACGAGTGCAGTTGTCTACAGAGATCAGAGAAGGCGTTGAAGCTCCTGGAACTGGACTTACAGGTGGTTGTGAGTCACCCAATATGGGTACTAGAAACCTAACTCCAGTCCTCTGCAAGAGCAGCTTGTTTTCCTAATTACTGAGCCATCTCTCCAGCCCCTGAAATTTTGGAGTTAGGGGAGATTTACGAAGTAAGCTCCCTGCTCACTGGGATGCTTTCCTGGGGTCACTTCTCAACAGCGGCAGTCCACAGAAAAGAACTCAAAGTTTGTGCCTGGTCCTTCTCAATGCAGGAAGCAGAGATCAAAGCTCAGGGGCACTATCCTGGTTTACTTTCTACTCTTACGACAAAGCATTCTGACCAAAAGCAACCTGGGGACAGGGAGATTCATTTGGCTCTCACTTCCATGTCACAGTCCGTCATTGAGAGAAGCCAGGGAAGAGCCTCAAGAAGAAATCGGTAGAAGGAACTGAGCATGGGGCAACGGAAGAACACTGCTTACCAGCCTAATTTCCATGGCTTTTGTACACTCAAGACCATTTGTCCAGTGGTTCCACAAGTGCCCTCCCATGTCTATCATTAGTAAAGAAAACGCCCCCTAAAGATTTGCCCACAAGCTAATCTGATGGAGGCCATTCCTCACTTGAAGTTCCCTCTTCCCAGGTGAATCTAGCTTGTGTCAGGTTGACAAAAGTAACCTTCACAAGCACCAATGCAAATAGGGGTTTCATGAAAGGACATGGAAAAGGATAGAAGCCATGGGTTGGGCAAATGAGAAAAGCCAGGTGTACTCCCTATGACTTTGATGGGGAGGGAAAACCA